CAGACCAGCTACTGACATACTATAAACATTATTGAGTCTTCCAATCTATTAATGTGCAACACCTCTAAAGTTAGCCTTTCTATAATTTCTGCAAAGTTCTCGTGCTTATTTGTTCTTTGCTACTGGGGACTGGATCCCAGGGCAATAGGTACAGGTACTCTACTACAGTGACCTCAGCATTATTTTACAATTCTTACTCTAAAGTATTTCCGTGTATTTTAGTGTATTCAGTATTTATTACTGAAAGTTTTATGTACAAGGATTCCTAATGTAAGTGGCATTTTAAAATTTTGAATTGTTCACATCTAGAAGACAATATGCAAGCAAATCTTTCATATTGACTGTTACATACTCTTTCTAACAGCTCTTTAAAGTTCCTTAGAACTAGCCAAGTAGTGGTAGCGCATTCCTTTAATCTCAGCACTCGGTTGGCAGAGACAGGTGGATCTCTGTGAGTTCAAGGCCAGCCTGCTCTACAGAGCGAGTTCCAGAACAGCCTTGAAAGCTACAGAGAAACCTTTGTCTTGAAAAAAAAAAAAACAAAATACAAAGGTTCCTTACAACTTTCTACATGATCTTTCTAAAAAAAAAAAAAATGAACTGACTTTTCACTTTTTCCAATTTATGTAGTATTTTTACGTTTTTGTATTTTATTATAACTTTTTTGTATTATACTTTCACATATTATTTTATAGACTTTTTGGACTGCTTAGGCCTCTAGAATAATACTGAGTAAAGAAGTGTGAGGGGACTGAAATGGAAGTGGCTATGGTGATACATGCCTTAATCCCAGCACTCCGGAGGCAGAGGCAGGAAATTCTGAGCCTGGTCTACATAGTAAGCTCCAGGACAGCCAGGACTACATAAAAAGAGACCCTGTAACAAAATGAAACAAAACAATCTCTCTCTCCACACACAATATATATGTCTACTACTTTCTTAAAAACAACAAAAAACAAACATTTAGACAAAGTTTCCAAAACCTAGCCAGGGTTAGGTTTCACAGACTTTTGTCTAAATTTTGTCTGTTTCACACTTATTCTTAATCTTCTTTTTGGTCTTTTTTTCCCTTAACACACTTTTGTTTTATGGAGCTAAACCCTCTACCACTGTTTTTTTCTAGTGTCTTCACCATGAACCTTCAATGGTTATTTTAGAACCCTCTCTAACAAATACTTACTGTCATAAATATTTCTGAGCTTCAAGTGTCATACCTGATGTCTTGTCAAGGGTGAAGAGCAAAGTCAGTTCTCCCAGAAACATTAAGAAGTCCACCCAAAGTACAGTAAGGTCCACACAAGGCAACCCTTTTGGAAACATGGGAACAAAAGCAATACAGACTGAACTAACCAAAACCTCTATAAACTACCAGGCAGAAAATACATTTAAGCCAGGCATTGGTGGAGCAAGCCTTTAATCCCAGCACTTGGGAAGCAGAAAACCAGAAAGAAAAAAATTATAAAAATTATTGACTCTTAATAGTTTTGGTTCTGAGCCTAGTCTTTAACGGCTGAGCCATCTCTCAAGCCCACCAGACTGATGTGCCTCCAAAGTGACTCTTCGCCACATCAAATGAAATCTTCAGATTAAGGAGCTAGTAGGCAAAACCCAGGCCTTGTGTACGGAAACCCGTATTCTGGTATCCAAGAAAGTTCTCCTCCTCCTCCCAGCCCACTTGTTGATAAAATCCGTGAGCAGACCTTGGAGAAGCAGCAAATGCAGATCAGTTGTTTGGAATGTCCAGTTTGTGGCAAAGTCTTTCCACCGAGAGAGGAGCAGATCTTTGAAGACCATGTGTTCTACCACTCTTTCTGAGTGTGCCAGCCCGTGGGTCTATGCTGCATCAGATTTCACAGTGTAGAACACTTTCTGCTGTGAGCTATCTGAGCGGAGAAGCCTGTGTAACAGGAAGTCACTAGGGGTTCACTCCGCTGATGCCTGCAAAGGAGGGTTGTGCCCACTGTCTGTAGGATGGTGTTGACAGCAGCTGTGTCTGCCCTGTCCATGTCCTCACTGCAGCGTCAGCCTTTCTCCTGCAGTGCCCTTCATCCTCAGTCTCCAGGACAGGGCCTGCTGATCCACAGCAGCTGACCCACACTAAGTCACTGTCTTCCTGCTGTCCCCCTGCATTCCCAGTTGGGGCGTGAGTGCATTGGTGCCAGTCCTCAGTCCTAACCCAGAAGGTAGGAACAGGATTGGAAGTGGAGAATTTCTTCATTTTCCTCAGTCCTTTCTTCAACCAATTGCCTCAAATTATCCCAAAATGGTACAGCAGAGAACTCAGATTCCAAAGATTTATCAGCTTCCAAAAGCAACAATTTCTGTCTTGTTTTATTTGTGAAGACAAGGCTTGACTATAGCCCTGGCTGACCTGGAACTCTCTGTATAGAATAGATCGCCTGCCCATGTCACCAGAGTGCTGGCCTCTAAGGCATGCACCACCACATCTGCTGAGAAGTGCCCTATGCTTCACTTACAAAAAGCCTCATTTCTAGCAGGATGTGATGATGTGGATCTGTATTCCAGCAGCTGAGAGGCTGAGGCAGGAGGATTATGAGTGCAAAGACACCTGAACTACACAGTGAGGCTTTCTCTCAGGAAAAATGGGGAGGGGCAGGGAAAAGTCTTCTTTCTTTCTAAACACTTCTGATTGGCATTTTCTGATCCTTTCTATACATACAACATGTGTTATTATGTTGTAGATATGGAAAGTTTTTTTTCTTACTCTAGTTGACCTGAAATTCATGTGTAGCCCTGGCTGGCCTGGACATTGGCAATCCTGCTGAATCACCTTCCAAAGTACTGAGGCGATGGGCCTGAGCCACTGCTCCCAGGCTGTTAGTCTCTTAGTGACAATTAGGAATAATTAGGAGGCATATGGGCTTGCAGCTTTATCAATAGTTATTTATTTGTATGAATAATGACTATTATTAATCTCTTAATATTCTAAATAAATTACTCTTTGTAAGGACAAAAAAACTATCAATTCAATAACATAATGCATAGGAAAATGTAGCTGTAGAATAAATTCCAGTGTTAGTAATAGCAAAGTGGAAAGTATATATTCTACTACTTTCCCTACTTCAAGACTTTTCTTAAGGCAGTTTTTTAAAATATTTATTTATTTGTACAGCATTCTGCCTACATGTATCCCTGCAGGCCAGAAGAGGGCACCAGATTTAGATCTCATTACAGATGGTTGTGACCCACCATGTGGATGCTGAGAATTGAACTCAGGACCTCTGGAAGAGCAGCCAGTGCTTTTAACTGCTTAGCCATCTTTCCAGCCCCTGCTTCAAGACTTTTAAAGTTGTAATTATCTCTACACACAATACACATTTGCACCAATGGGTCAGAGTGAAACATGTTTCTACCTCTATTTTAGGTAATAATTTATCTTCATAAACTAAGATAAAATAATTTCTAGGAATTAAGGTGGTAAAGGGGCTGTCTAAAACATAAATCCCTAGGTTCAATTTAACCACTGCAAAAAAAATTGTAATCAGGGATTTTAAAATTTTATTGATATAGCTAGCTTGGTTATAATCCAAAGTCTCAATTATTGTGCCAGTTAGTTTTATGTCAACTCGATACAAAGACAGTTATTTTGAAAGAAGGAGCCTCAACTGAGAAAACACCCCCTTACTGGATTATCCAGTGGGTAAACCTCTAGTGTACTTACTTGATTGATGACTGGAATGGGAGGACACAGCTCCCTGTGGGCAGTGTCATCCCTAAGTTGGTGGTCCTGGGTGCTATAAGAAAGCAGGCTGAGCAAGCCATGAGGAGCAAGCCCGTGAGCAGCACCCTTCCATGGCCTCACATCAGCTCCTGCCTCCAGGTTCCTGCTCTGTTTTGAGTTCCTGTTCTGACTTCCCTCAGTGATGGACTGTGATGGGGAACTTTAAGCTGAAAAAGTCCTCTTCTTCCAAAGTTATTTTCAGTCATGGTGCTTTATCACACCAAAAGAAATGCTAATAACTAAATAATATCATATCCACGTGATACTATGTAATTAGCAATTATTTTTAGTTTTTACTTTACAACAAATACCTTGTCAAAGCAATTATAATTCCTTTTTTACAATGTGTATATTTCTAACTTAATAGTAACTAGCAATAATAAATAATTTTAAGACATTCTTTAGAATTACAGTCACCTAAATTGGTGATTATTACTAGCCACAGACAAGGACATGAGTAATTTGTGTAATAGTACCTCTTAACATATTCATCTGACACTCTATGTAAACTGTAAGTAGTACCATCCCTAGGCTGGCAGTCCTGGATCAATAAGGACTCACTAACTAGGTGTAGTAAATTATTAGGAAATATGCCTGCATGTAACAAGCATTCATAAGCACAAAAAATAAAATAGTAGTGGTTGATGGTGTGAGAACCAATAACCTGTAACAAATAAAGTCAAATACCACGTTGTACCTTAAAGAAAGTTACAAATTAACTAAATATGTTTCTCCTCAGTTTCCCAAGAAAAATGGAATAAGCAGCGATAAATAGCCCACTCATTCAGTCTATAGATTTTCTCAAATGAATAGTCAATACACACGTGTTAATTAATTACTATAACTCTAAGAGCAAACCTAAAATTTAAACAGAAATGCTGAATTACAAAAGTGATGTCTGCAAATACTGCAAGCAGCCCAGTACTGGGGACACCTTTCAGGGTAGATTCTCAAAAAAATGTCTTCAGTTGATTTTTAAGCGTAAATTCTAATATCCAGTCTAGGGTTTCTGACATCCTTTTAATCCAAGTGCCAAATTTATTTTAAAATAACTGGCAATTCAGTATTTTTCAGAAGTTCAAGTAAGAGTACAACAATACGTGTACTTATTGTCCCAACAAAGGACCTTAGCAAGGAAAGCCAAGAATCTGTTTGCATTATTTAAAAGCTTCTTTCGTAATTAAAATATGTAACTAGCTAGCCAGCCTCAGAACTAGAGTGGTTACAGTTTATGCTTTAAAAAAAAAAAAAAAACTACCTTGATCTGTTGTCTTCGCAGCATGGCAAGCTCTCGCATGTCTCGGAATGGCTGAAGTAAATACTGGTAGAGTTCAGTTGTAGCCTCTGCAAGACAGCTGTAGGCTTCATCCTCCATCTGATATAAGTCCAAAAGCTCCACCATGCTCTCTATAGTCTTGTGCTTGTCCAAGAGCTGCAAACAAAAAGTTTCAATGCTAAGAAAACTAAATCCGGTAACCGATAATAAATACTGTACTTGATTTTGACCCAGAATCAAGAGGTTACTAAACAGACGATTTGCATGTTATCACTCCTCTCCATATTTTAAGTGTCTTACTATATATAAGAGACCTGACTCATTAGGGGTGAAGGAGTACATACTACCTTCCTGTCTTTAATCCTCATCTAGTAGTGCTCTCTAATCATATAATGAAACAAAATAATATCAAAAAAACCACTTTATTACTGTGCTGGTGAGTTGCTGACACAAATCTACATACATTTGGGAAGAAGGACTCTCAACTGAGGATTGCCTCCATCAGACTAGCCTGTGGACATGTCCATGGGGGCATTTTCTTCCTTACTAATTGATGCAGGAGGCTCAGCGATGCCATCCTGGACAACGGGCCTGAGTTAATAAGGTAGCTGAGCAGAAGCTATGGAGAAGCTTAATGTAATCCTTATCTATAGAGTGAGTGGGAAAGTTACCTCAGCTACATGAGCTCCTCTGTCAAAAACTACCACCAGCACAAAGTACGCACACAGCTAAAAGTAACAGCTAAACCCCAGCACCTTCCTTCCAAGTATCAAGACAGACCTGTTTTAGGCCATAAATAAGTTTTAAACTGAACAGAACAGAACTAGAGTATTAAGAACTTTAAAAAAAACACACACAGTGAAATTACAATAGCTGGAAAGCTCTCAAAACTCTAAGTTAGGGACTGGAGAGATGGCTCTGCACTGGCTGTTCTTACAAAGGAGCTCTGTTCAGACCCCAGCAATGAGTTCTAATTTGAGTCAAGAGTGCCCACCTTCACCATGACCTACCACTCCAAGGATGCTGCCCGCTACACACATCAGAAACAATAAAAACAGTAGGGAAGGATCAAACCAGACTTTCTTTGGTGGGGGCAGGCATCCTAAATTTTTAATGAATCATAAGCTATTCATTTATACCTGCAAAGGCAATAAATCCTTGAAAGAAAAAGTAGATGAATTTTATCTTTAATTCTACTTGAAAATGAAACACTTTTGTTAAAATTATTAAACACCATGTTTCACAAACACCAAAATAAGAAATGAGAAAAAACAAATGACAGCAACATGTCTAAGTAACAAAACTCTCCCTCTTCCTTCATTGTTACTTAACTATGAAATCTACAACAATTCAAAATTAGAAAACCTCAGCTACTAAGTAGGCTTCTTTGAATTCTGCTTTCAAGAACACCAAAGTCAATGTGGTGCCAATACTTACAGATACTACTTTCTGCCAAAATAAATGTACAAGAACTAAGGCAGAAATCAGTTTTCAAGTATTAAAATACTTATCTAGCATTTCCTGACATGACTTTTACTCTCTAACAGGGCAATACTCAACAATGCAGCAACTAAACGTAATACTCTTGCAGAAACCCAGGGCATCTCACCTAACAATACTAATTTATTAATCTGTGTTTGCTATAAAGTTTCATGTTTTTCCAACACTAGATTTCTTTAAAAGCAATGATAACTGCATTTTAAATTCAATTATATTTCTAGTTTAATCTAAGTAATCTTAAATGAAAAGCGCTTAAAACCACAACACAATTGAAATTGTAACTCATGATAAAGGAATTCAATGAGAACTGGCACATGGGGTGAGTGCTCACCAATATACCTAGTACAGTGAACAGGAGAGCAAAAAAAGGAGAGGGAAGGAAGGCAAGCACTATTCAACTAAGGAAAAACTGGAAAAGTTCAGAGAATAAGCACACTGCTTTGGACACTCGCAGGTTATAAACTGTGACATACACATGAGTAGAAAGAAATCATGACAATTAGAATATTTGGATTATTGAGGCTGTCAGGGATACAGAAGAACAGAGAATTTAAAATATGAGAAGTATCTAAATGAGGCTAATAAAAGCTTGAGAAATTTGAAAGCATTCACTGAGACACCAAGAATGCAGCTGTACCTGGATATGAGTAAAACATCCCTGCGAAGTATTTTCTAAGGGCTCAAAGGCAATCAGCACAAACACAGCAACAGAAGAGATAAGTAGAGAAGTGGGGGCGGGAAAGTAAAGCTCTGTATTCTTTCTGCTTCAAGATCTGACTTGAAGGCTGGAGAGCACTGGCAGCTCTCCCAAAGGGCCCCTAGTCAGCACCCACAGCAGCTCAAAACCACCCGTGTCTGTAACTCCAGACCTACATCATCTAATACCCTCTCTTCTGGTCTCCACAGGCACTATATACACACGGGGTGGTACAGACATACAAGCAGGCTGAACACCTATAAACATAATTAATAAAGGTTTGGGGTTTGTTTTTTTACTGACAAAGCTCTTCAGCAATTTTAGGGAATTACTCCACAAACAGAGAAGACACAAAGTAAAAATTTACCAAGCATAACACATAAGACACAAAGTAAAAATTTACCAAGCATAACACATAACTACCTAAGCCTAATAAGTAAAACAAATATGTGTGTGTGTGTGTGTGTGTGATTGAGGGTTGAACCTTGTTTACACAAGCTAAGCAAACACTTCATTACTTACTTGTATTTCCAATCCTTCTTCCCTTTGTCCTTGAGACAGTCTCATACAGCTCAGACTAGCCTTGAACTCTCTAAGCATCCAAACTGGACCTTGAGCTGAACTTCTGATCCTTCTGCCCCTACCTCCCAAACACTGAGCATCTGAACCCAGGGTTTTCTGCACCGGAGACAAGCATTCTGCCAACAGAGATATCCAGCTTTTTTTGAAAGGGTCTCACTACACAGCTCTGGCTAACCTGCTATGTAGACAGATCCTCCTGCCTCTGCCTCCTTAAGAGTGGTAGGATTAAAGATGAACCATCATGTTCACCCCCACTCCCCAGTTTTTTGTTCTGCCAAAGTCTTTAGGTTACTTGGGCTCCTCCTGTAGCTCAAATAGGGGTTGAACTTGCAATTCTACTCCAGTCTCCTAAGCAGCTGGGATTACAAGCTTGCATCAAACCCCTCTAGACATCTTTCAATTTGTTTCCATCTCACAGTAATCCTGTTAAGAATGGCTCTTACCCTAAGAGATTTCAACCTTAAGTCTAAAGTCTGCTTAATGAAAAATTCCTCAAACACAAGGACATACAGTTTCCTTTAGTTTCTTAAAGGAGTTGCTAACAACTTAAATTTCTTTTTCAGGTGAGCTCACAGACCTAATAAGGAGAAGAGTGGGTCTAGAAGGAGGAGCAGAAGGAAAAAAGGTGAGGACGGGGAGACAGTGAAACCGGTACAAAGTCACAGAAGAATAAATGAGTGTTCTATTACATAGGTCACTACTATGTAGTTACTACAGGTTCATATAATCCAAAATAACAAAGATTTTAAAGAACTAAATGTATGAGATGATACCTGAATATCCGTATTAGATCAGTATGTAATATATAAATGTACCAAACTACTAGCTAGTGCCATAGAAACATAATGATTGAGAATAAAAGAAACAACTGCCTCTTTTCTTCAGAAATGGGTACTAGAATCATCTTTCTAACTACATGAGATACACTTTGTCACTATGATTAAAAAAAAAAAACTGGCACAGACAGCAGCAATCCCAGCACAATTACAATGCCATCACACCCTAAGCTTTCATACTCATCACTGACTCACACACAACTTTTAATCCTGCAAGACCCATTCATTGATACTGCCTTACACAGAGACACATTTTTACAGTGCCCCTTCTGTTTGGATACACAAATGTTCATTGTGTTATAACTGGTTACTGAATTCCATATAGTTGTATGTTATGCAGAATGTAACTTAGAAGCAACAGACCACAGCATGTGGCTTAAGTGTACAGTGCAATAACACCTACATTTATGTAAGGACAGTGTAAGAAACTGACTTATACCACTCCTTCCCAAATAGGAAGATACTTTCAAAGAAACTGACATATAAAATTACGCTTCACAAGCATAAAACTCTGGGGGAATGACTCAGTCATTCAACTATGCAAACAAAGGACCTGAGTTCAGATACCTACCACCCACATAAGAACCCAGACAAAAAGTCTGTGCCTGGTGGTATGCACTTATAATCCCAACGCTGGGGAGGCAAAGACACAGATTCCTGAAGCTCAAGGGCTTAGCCTGTGTCATAAAGTAAGGTGGAGAGCAACTGAGGAAGTCACCCAGCACTGACCTCTGGCCTCCACAGGCAAACACACACACACACACACACACACACACACACACACACACACACACACACACACACACACACACACACCAGCACGTATATAATGTAAACTAAGTAAGTCATAAAACTGGGCTGGACATGGTGGAGCACGTCTACTAAATAGAGCCAAGAGGATCAGAAGTTCAAGGTCACCTCTGGCTATATGAGACCCTGTCTCTAAACAAAACTCTTTTGAAAAGCATGCCAAAAGTAAAGATGGAAGTCAATTACAGGGAGTTCTCAACTCTCAGAAAAGTCATACCCTAAAGGCACATTATATATTCTCCCACAAAGACAGTATTTTTTGACTGCACAATCCATGACTACTCAAGACCAAGGTAAACATGTATAAGTGAAATTTTAAAAAAACAAAACATTTTGCAAGAGCAAATAATAAAATACTGATGAAAACAGCCAGCACTTAAAAAGTAGAAAGTACGGCTCTCCCTGTAAGCAACCTGAGGTAACCTGTGAAGATGGTTCGCTACTTTCTCAACCCAGAAAACCCTACAAAATCATGCAAGTCAAGAGGTTCAAATCTCCAGGTTCACTTTAAGAATACCCGTGAAACTGCCCAGGCCATCAAGGGTATGCATATCTGGAAAGCCACTAAATGTCTGAAGGATGTCACTTTGAAGAAGCAATGTGTGCCGTTCCGGCCGTACAATGGTGGAGTCGGCAGGTGCGCCCAGGCCAAACGGTGGGGCTGGACACAGGGTCTAGACGTAGATTCTCTGGTCACCGAACACATCCAGGTGAACAAAGCACCTAAGATG